TGCTGATCTCAGTATCAATAGCGGTGGGTGGGAAGCGTTGCAGGAGGGTCGATGGTTGCAGGTTCGTAATGGATTAGCGCCCTAATCGCGCAATTTGGGCAACGAAGCTGGCATGATCTATGAAGGTACGTACCCGGAATTTCCCTCATAGTACTCTTCCTACTAGTCGAGCTAATCCCGGGGCTTGCCTTAAGCCTTTCAGGTTGTAAAAGTTAAATAGTACCAAATTTTCGTAATTCTTGATGTGAGAAGCTTCGGCCTTTTGTACCCATTTCAGACCCTGACTTCAGACCCTGACGATTTCACACTCTGACATTCAAGAAATCATTCTCAGTTGCACCTGCAAACTTTTCCTCTTCGAATGGCACTACGCGCATGTACCTATGATTTTTCTAACATTGTTCATTTTTTCTTTGTCTCCGCATGCTTATTCTACAAAATGAGGCAAAAATGCCTAACCATTGAATTCCATGACAGCAGTAATATCGCTTCTTCCGAAATTTCTCGGTCGACTTGGTCTTCCTTTCCTCTCAGTGTTCTGCTCTTCTCGATCCCCTAGTTTTTTTTTGCTCGAAGATCCGTTTGATATCACTTATCTTTCTTGAACCCGCACCTCTCGCTTACGGGGGCGAGTGCACTACAAGTTACGCTACCGCTAGCTTTTAGCTGATTTGGGCGAAATGGTGCCCCGGTAGCGTAACTGGTAGCGCACTTGCCCGGAAAGCGAGAGGTGCGGGTTCTAGTCCCGCCTGGGGCGAAAGTTTTGTTCACAACCCAGCATTCTTGTGAAACCTTCGCAAGGTGAAAGAAATGTTGCTACACGTTACAAGGTCCTTATCTTTGCGCTTGAATCCGGAAAACGTGGAGCTTTCAAGAGCCTTTTGGATTGATATCTTGTCCAATCTTGTATCACCAAATTCCTCTTCTGGGCACACTTTTACTGCTGGGTCTCCTGTTTTCCGCTTGCATATCGCAATCATCTGGAAACCTTCCGCGCCTGTGATCTCCCTTGCTAGCCTTGAGTGACGGAGACTTCTGCGTTAAGCAGGCAGTGCAGGCAACTAAGTCCCTACCATGCTTGTATTCAAATGGGATATTCTTTACTCAGCTAATAAAGGAACTCCAAAAGGTCGTTTCCATAAATGCACGTGCGCAGCTGAAGGAACTCTTGCATTCAGAGTGGGTTAACCATTCCTCAGTTCATATTTTCATCTAACACTTGATGGTAATGAAGGATACGTTCAGGTATCGCTGGCGCACGATGCTCATGATGTGGCTGGTGTTCTGCATCATCTCAGCGGTGGGTAATCTTCTAGCTGTGATTACGACCGGCATCTGGCTGGATCATCTCTCGAAGATGAAGGACCGTACAGGACTCGTTAACGGACTTTCCGGCTTCATGCTGCTGTCCTCGGTGGCTGTGGGTAAGGCACTATTATTTTTTCTGCTATTTATCTTTGGTTTATTCTTTCTATCAATACTATTTGGTCAGTATTTTAGAATAAGTTGGCGTCTATTACTTTGCATTTAAAAAGTCCAAAAATAAGGAAAATTCTGTCAAGTACTTTCGAAATCGCTAACGCTGAGTGCGGTGGAAGTGGTGTAGTGGCAAGTGGCACGCTTACCACGCGAGCGGTCCGGGGATCAAATCCTGGGTCGTGAGTCGCCCGGGCCAACCAAGCCTTCCATCCGGGGTCGGTTAATTGGTACCAGACTTGTCTGGGAGGATAAAAACACTGACATCGGCTGGCCCCCGCAAGTCATTGTATAGGCCACATCGCATTCAAACGCCACTACGAATGTACAAATGGAAGTAGAATGCGTGCCGCATCCCAAAAAGGGATTGATCAACGGCAAATGCTTTATCCTTTATCCTTTTTAACGCTTGGAGCGTGTACTTGCTATCTGGCGTGACATGGATAACAATAAATTTTGAATTGATCTCATTGAATTTCAAGTTTTCATCAATATTGATCGATTGTGCTCATTAGAAGTAAGCTGAGTTATGGGCAGAACACTGCGCCTCACGCGGGAGTCAAACCGCACCTCTCGCTTTCCGGGCACTTCTGCTAAAAATTAGGGGTACCCTCGAGTGATAAACATGGGAATCGATGTTTTGTCCCTATAGGACACGTCTCACACTTCGTTGCGATCTTTGGCAGGGCCAAAAATTTAACCTGCCACTATTTGACGGGGAAGAACTTAGCGATCTAGTCATAGTGCGTACTCTCTCTCTCGACCATCACCGGCTTGGGTGTCTATCCACCGTCAGGCTTGACGGCTATTGACTTACCCATGGTCCAACAGTTCTAAACTAGGTCAAAATTTTATTTTCTCTAAAACTAAGGGTTATCCAGTGCCCTGTTCACGATTATGACATTCGCTTTTGGTGCTGACGTCATCTGGTGCTGCTATGATGCCTTTCGGACCATGTTGGTGCCGTTTTGGTGTTACGAATTCCATCACCAGTTTTTCAGTCAAAACTATCTGTAAGGGTTGCTGGGTTCCAATTATGAACACGACACCCAGTCTCGGCGCTGACCATATTCTGAAACGCCAATTCAAAATGCAAAAGTTTGTCACCGTAAGGATCGAACGCGGACCACTTTATCACCTTTTTTGGTATTCAGAGGGCCGTTCAGGAAAAATGAACCATGGTTCTGTGGTTCCCACATGCCCCTATCTCATGCAAAAAACCATTTTGAAAAAGCTTAGCCCTCCCTAAACGACCTCCCTGGTAAGCTCCGAGGGGCCGTGCTTGTAGAAGCAGTAGCGATAGGATCACATGGATTTTGCGATTAAGTGAAAGCTATGAGCATAAGCATCACAACAATGGGCAGCTAGGAGCGGAACATCCACTATTCCAATAATGAGAAATCCCTCCGGTGAACAATGGAATCTCAACATCTAGTTATAAAAAGCAGCACGATGCGTATTAGAAATACAATAATTAGTAAAAACTAATAAACTATTTTGATGAATTCCTCTAAAATGAAGTGGAAAAAGTGAAGTAAATAGGGATTTTCACGCACCATTGAATTGGTCGTGAGCAGAGCTATCAATGGTATAATTTTCAGGCCGCGTAAGCCATTTTTGCAGGAATTATGGCGAGGCGACGGTTGCGACGGATCGAATCCGTCGCAAATCGTCGATTGAACAAAAATTAGTAGCGGTATTGTACATACGGTCCTTCCATTAACTCCAGACAGGATTTTATTCCCGGAAATTTAGGGCGTGATTGTAGTCAGTTCAGTCATTTGCAGAAAATCTTACGATTAGACCAACGTTCAAGGTCGGAAACGGTTCTCTCCTATTTCAATTGAGATCCAAGCGTTTGCCCACCGGCAGTTTACACCTGTACCATCTCTTTTGCAGAAAAATAATAAGTTTTGAAAATACGTACGTGGAGCTTGAGCGGACCCTTATTAAGAAAGGTGCTTCGTAAATAACAGGCTCTGTGAAGCTAAGCGTGCTTCTTACAATCGCTTCGGCGAAAGATTCAAAACTAGGTTTTCTTAAAATTCTTGGATCCGCTCATCGATGTCGTCCACCTGAAACGAAAACCTATAGGCAGTGAACACGATGGCTAAGGGAGAAGCGATTTGGAAAGCGTCATGTCATTAGTGGACTTCATCCATCAGCGTGGTAGGGTGTGGTTGGGATCATCCCGCGATGCTATAACATCAATGACGCCATCAAACTGCTATGCCTTCCAGCCCCTCTTGTTCACTGCTTTTAAGTGACATTTAATAGCTCTCCAGGCGACAAGAATGGTTGTAATGAGGTCTGTGAAACACTAGGTAAATGACTCGCTCGTGGGAAGAAAAGTGTAAACTGCGGGACAAACGAGACTCACTTTGACGCTCATGGTCTAAAACACTGGACGTCGAAGTGAGAGCACGGATGAGTGAGTTAATGAGCGACAAGAAAAACTGCGAGCAACTGCGAGTAGAAGACTTCAACCCGCTAAGCCATTCAGCAGTGGTTTGAGACGATCGAAATTATGACAGTTTCCGCGTTCAGTTCTTCTTCTTTTGGCATATCCAGTGCGTTCTATCACGGTACATTTTTGGGAAATACCCAAAAATTGTCTGGTTGCTAATGTGTCAGATTCAAATAGTAGGAATTCACCATTTGTTGAAATTTGACCAGATTTTGTATTTATGCATGGTAAATGTACTTTGCTTTTCCCTTTTCCTTGGAAATTTTCAAAACGTTTTTCATGACCAAAAGTTTTCAGGTGTTTGCTTCATACTATCAGCCGTGATGATCTGCCATTACTGGAATTCGAATTCTCCCAAATATCAGCCGGTTGGCAGGATGGCGGTGAGTTGCTGGTTACTCTCAAACATGTAGGCTTTGAAAATGGCAAAAGATCAAAATATTTGTTCAGAAACGAACTCGGCTGCGTCGTCGGTTGTCGCGGATGAAGAGTGGTGAAAGAAAGGACGCGCGTATGACCTCGAAAGGTTACCATATAGTTTGAATAGCCAACCCATCGGTGCTGCAGCTCAGATTTCATTTCAAGAATTCTATGGAATTGCAATAGGAAATGATAACTATGTGATCAGTCGATGATTAGCTATTGTGTTACGTTATAGATTTTCTTACGCATTTTGCTACGTTTCCTGCCCTTTGTACACATTACTCTTGAACTTTTCTCCGGGTCTGTTGTTGATTGCCTATGAAATGAAGAGATGATTTATTTTGCAAAAAGAGCGTAATTATTGTTGGTAGGAAGCTTATTTTGTGGATCAGAGGAGAGACCCGATCAACGACCATCTCGCCAAAGCCATAAACCCTCAGCAAACGGCTGAATCGTTCTGTCGCTACATTGCTCGTACTAACCTTAAAGGACGAATTCACGATGGAAAAAGCAACCCATTTCAAATTAACTTAGGGATGGTGAGTGGTACACGAAAGAAGGAAAACCATGAGAAACGGCCCAGAACCCGAGAAATGGGACCCCTTCCTTGCCCGTTGATTTCAGCATTGAGATTTGCATCGTCCGAGTGATTAGATAGCCGGTGGGCGTACCGCGCCAACTGCGCCAAGAGTGAGCCATGCTAGATCGCCGAGGTCAAATCTTTCGCTGCCAATTGCGTGTCAGTCCGCACCCTCAGGAGGTCCGCCTGTCTCCCCACTAGGTTTCCGTTTCCTTTCTTCGTATATCACCTTTATACGAAGTTATA